ATTTTTTAAATGAAAACGCATTAGTGTAAACGGGGTCTTAGTCACATGGTCAAGAAAGATACAAAATAGGTGTAAAACTCTTCTCAGTCTCTTTTCCTGCCCTCGTCTTTTCCTGCTCTGCTCCTCTCCTCCTCTAGAGTCTATCTTCTCTGACTCTATTGCAATCAGGCTAACTTCTGGGCCTGCTCCTTTTGTCTCTCTCTCTCCCTCCTTCTGTGTCTCTCCTTCTACCTCTGGTAACTTTAATTTTACATTTAAGCTGGGTACAATTATTATCATATGTTTTATCATTTCATATTTGATCATTTTATAGTTATTTTGTAATTAATTCAGTTGTAGCCATAGAGAATTATCGTTAAATCATCTCATTTTCAAGTATTTGTGAATTACTTTTGATTTAACATCAACATTTAATTGTTCCATATTGCAATACAATACAATCACATAATATCACCGCTCTCCCATATTTATAGCTATTAATGCTGCCATTATTTCTGTTTTTGGTATGAGATTGCAGAAGAATGGTTTGACTAGGAATGTACAGTTTTTTACCATCATGCTGATCACTTTTTAGTCGCTTGGCAGAACTACAGTTCAATCTGCTGTGGTTAAAACCCATTCTTACATGGGAGAAACGCTTAATACTTTATCACCTGTGACTCGTTTGTGTTCTGACCACTTGTGCTTGGCTGCACACTATATCAATAAAGTGTTTAGACTTTTAAAAACACTGTAGAAAAACACTGAGCCACTAAACATGATGTTCTTATGATGTTTTCCGACAGGAGGAAAACACGAATGACTTTCAAACACTCTAGATAAAGTCTGTGTTAGTTAATGCAAGAATATTGATGAACTCCAGCATAACACTGTATGACAATGCTTCAGATGACTGTTCTAGAGCCTACAGCTAATCAATCTGGCAGATTCTGGAGTGCATTACAGCTCTAAAGAGAAATATAAATGATAAATGATCTTAAATAAAACAAATGCATTAATAGAGATGGTGTATAAGTATATAACTTTACTCACATGGGAAACGGAGGTGAATGGTTTGTGAGCACAATTAAATGCACACAGCATGTCATATCATCTGATAATTGTTTGAAGTAAGTCCAAAAGGCAACTGAATGTGTAAAGCCACATAAAACAACACAAAAATATGATGAATATGCCGAGTTCAGTGGCTAATCTGCAGGATTCAGCTGAGGTGACGTGAGGGCGACCAGCGAGACCAAGCAGTCAATCAAGTGGCCACGCCCTTAAAAATGCAAACTAAATTTTACCTAATATAAAGGAAACGGATGAGTTATAAAAAAATTCACCCCCCTCACAGTTGTCATGAAGGGTAATATTAGCTATATGCACCAAAATCTTTCTTTGTAGCAGGCTGTAAACACCTTATTTCTGCTGTAAAGTCGGCCATTCTAACAGTGGGCTCAATTGAAATTTGCTCTGTTATGGAGCCAGGACTAGCGGAATTTCGATGAATTGCAGTTTCAGTCACTTCCGTATTGGCTTCCCGAGGGAGAGCGGGAGGTTGCTGCTTGGTAGCGAGTCATTGATTGTGATTATCGGCCAATACCGATCTTTAGCCGATCGATCGGAGCATCCCTAAATGGCTTATTTTTATCCATTTGAACATTCTTCTAAACCTTTGGTACAACTACTCAAGTCAGCAACATACATTTTTGGATATTTTAATTAAACAAATCTTGCATATTGTGCCTTTAAGAAGTCAGAGCTTTAATATGTCTGACAAGATTTATATGTTTATGAGCTAGTGGTTAGCACTGTGGCCTGACAGCAAGCAGGTCAGTGGTTCAACCCTGTGCCTTCCGCCTCTATATCCATATCTACATCTAGGAGTCTGTGTGCCAGCAGCTTCACACATGCAACTAATGTAATAAACGCACAACAGCTCACTCCCAGTGCAAACTTTGCTCCTTACACTGATACATTCAGATTCCACCCATGCATTATTACAGTGTGTGCATTAAAACTACAGCTGCACGATATTGGAATAAAAGACATTGCATTATTTGATTTATTTCATTTAGCAATATTGAGTATAAAGAAATGAATAGCTCTATTTGGAAGGTATTCATAATCGTAGATATTATGAGTGCATATGCATCTAATAACCCATTCAAAAGCATCGATAAACACAGTAGAGCAAGGCAACAGTTTAATTAAACAATGCTTTATGGTTTTAACTATCAAATGTAAAATAACACTGCACATATATACAATTAAAGTTGAAAATATATGATGATGTAAAAGCAGAAATATTACCGAATCGCTGCTGGAGCAGGAGGAGGAGGAGGACTTTCCACCATCTTTCTTCTTGTGTTCCTTGTCCTTCTTCTTCTTGTCTTTGTCTTTATGTTCTTTATCTTTGTGCTTATCTTTATGCTCCTTGTGCTTTTTGTCTTTATCCTTATGCTTAGAGTCACACCCAATATAAAATGATATGCATTAAAAATAACATCACATATTAGGGACTTTTAAAACCTTATTAAATCCTTTCTGTTAAATGTATTAATTGGCTTAAAGGGTAAATAAAAGGTGTTTATTTGTGCATATGAATGAGATATTAATGAAGGATCCACTTAATTGTGACTCAACAGATGATTATTAAAATTCTGTGACTCAGTATCTATAACAGTGCAATATTTCCATATGCAAAGTTCTGCCCAGGAAACACATAACCTTCTCCTAAAGCTATTTTTTTTTATATATATATAACCTAAAACTAACATTGAACATTCTTTTTAGGTTATTTTATGGTTACATTGTAATATAACCTAAAAAGAACGTTCACTTAACGTTAGTTTTAGGTTATACATTTAAAAAAATCTAGCTTCAGGAGAATGTTATGTGTTTTCTGGGGAGAACTTTGCATATTGAAATATTGCAGTGTTATAGATGCAGTGGAAAGTTCTGGGAACCAATTGTTATTAAGGTCTGATCTTATAAACTTAAATACTTCCTATATTCAGTATGTGTAGTTATTAATAATAAAACTGGACCACTTACTCATATGATTCTTTACAAACACCTCATATTATCCGTATCATTGTTTCCCCTGTAATTCTGCTGGTTTAGTTTAATATAATAATAAATAGAGTATCATATACAGTATGCACACTTTACCTTGTCTTTGCTCTTGTGTTTATCTTTATCCTTCTTTCCAAAGATTCCTTCCACTTGTTTACCCTCCTTCTTCTTCACCTCCTCATCTCCAACAGCTGGATTAAGAAGAAGATTGACAGAAAACCGCGTGTGTTTTCCACTTAATCAAACATTACGAGTTATTTAATACCTCTAGGTTTTGAAAAACAAGTAAATTGTGCATGTTTACCTGCAGCCAGATCAAAATCCATGACGAACGAGCTCAGTTGAGTACTCTCTGATCGACGTTTGGGGCATATATTTGCTTTCAAATCATTGTGCTCATGAATATTAATTACGTACGCAGACGTCCGTTCATCTGATTCGCTGACGGTCAGTGAGCGACAGTTAGCCGGCGAATGAAAAATCTTTATAAACGCTGGGCGTGGTTCATGAATATTAATTAGGATGTGTGATTGGCTGAGAACGGAACTTAAAATTCAATATTCATAACGTAATTGTTCGTCCAGGTAAACTGCTATTGCGTAAGCATATTTCCTACTCACACATTTCAAAAACAAGTCCACCGCCTCTAGAGAATACGACTGCACTGCCAATGCTTGTCTTACTCAGATTTTTTGTCTTGTTTCTAGTCCAAATATCTATAAATTCTTAAATCAAGAAGCATTTTCTAGACAAGCTAAACATATTGTCTTATTTTAAGAAATAATACGCCAAAATGAAGTGAGTTTTTCCTTAAATCAAGCAAAATAATCTGCCAATGGGGTAAGCAAAATAATCTTGTTTATCGATTTGAGATAAGATTATTTTGCTTACCCCATTGGCAGATTATTTTGCTTGATCTAAGGAAAAACTCACTTAAGTTTGGCGTATTATTTCTTAAAACAAGACAATATGTTTTGCTTGTCTAGAAAATGCTTCTTGATTTAAGAATTTGTGGATATTTGGACTAGAAACAAGACAAAAAATCTTAGTAAGACAAGCATTTTTGCAGCGTGTGGTGATCATATTAAGCATGAAAACTGTTCTGACAATTATGCAAATGCTAGTGCAGCAGCTTTGTATATGTTGGTGGATGTCGTGTGTTTCGTGTTTTCAAACGTCTGTAAATGCAATTTTTTCACTTTTAATGTTGTAATTAGGATATTTATTATACAGTGAGTGTATATTGCATACAGTGTATTTTGATTGATAGTAATGTATTTTTTTTATTTAATCCCATGTCAGCAACCAATGCTATTTTCATGGCAGGAACCTTTCAACAATAAATATACAATTTAAAATCAACAAACAAATGACTACATTAATTAAATAATATTTTTAGTGTTGACGCATGATCAAAATTCTACAATCTTTTCTGGTTTCACTTTGTTAAAAATGTCCTTAAAAGAGTTCAGTTTATAAAAAAGTCCTCTGGAATCACTGAAAGCAGGACAGTCCAGTAAAATGTGTTTTATAGAGTAGGGTTTTTACCTTGAAGCAAAAAACCATGTGTTATTCTTGTATGTTCAATACGACATCTAGTAAAAACCACTTGATCAAATCTATTCCTAAAATGTCTTACAATTCTGTGTGAGATTTCAGGTTGGATTTCATGCAATTGATTATTTTCTAATGCATCCTATTCCTTTTGCCACTTGTTTAAAATGTGAACGTTGATAAAAGGTTTCATCTCTGATGGAGGAATTTGGCTTTTGATTGAAAGTAAAATGTTATTAGCATGCACATCATATAAGGGAATTAAAATATGCTATAAAACATTAAATAAAAGGTGTTGTGTACTGTAAATAAAGTCAGAACAACTTTGCTTGAGTCACAAGTTCAATTTATTTTCAGTCCATTTTTCTCTTGGCAAAAATGTGTTATTAGCTGTATAACAGTATAAAGAAGTGGTTGTCACGGTATATATATATATATATATATATATATATATATATATATATATATATATATATATATATGAGGTAAGTTGTCACAGTTTGAACATTGTTGTGCATTGTCTATTCAGTTTTGATAAATACATACATAAAATCAATACATTTCCATAATATATTATTTAGGATATGTTAGATGCTATTTAATGATTAAAAAAATAAAACAGTTACTCAGATTGAAGCTGAAAGGAGATTGACTATAATATAGACACTGAACAGTACAGGAATTGTAGTTTAAAGGGCAGGATTCACACAGGGTTCCTAATTTAAGACAAGAAGTTTAAACCCAACATTTCAAAGCACTGCTAGAGAAAGCATTTGTGCAGTTTTTTGTTTGACTGCAAACATTACAGTGTCAACAAGTCCTGGCCCAAACTCACGTCTTCAGCTTCAGTCCTAAAAAAACAAAAACAAAACAATATTAGTTTTTACTCACATGACAGACAGACAGACAGACAGACAGACAGACAGACAGATACATAGATAGATAGATAGATAGATAGATAGATAGATAGATAGATAGATAGATAGATAGATAGATAGATAGATAGATAGATAGATAGACAGACAGACGGACAGACGGACGGACAGACGGACAGACGGACAGACAGACAGACAGACAGACAGACAGACAGATAGATAGATAACATTTGAGAAAAGTCAAAATATATAGCCTAGGTGAAATAATCCCCAAAGTTCAGCACATCAGATTTGCTTATACAAACATTGTAAAGTGCACTGCAGCTGTACTTATTGAAATATAGAAAAAAGCAAGTGACCATCAGCTTTGCCATTTGTTTGCTTTATTCATGCAGGTATGTGTTTACATATGTGTTTAAGCGTCTGTTATGTTTTTGAATTTATGTATAATGTTTCTTTTTTTTTTTTTTGGTGTATGTTAAACACACTTCAACTTTATTTATGTGAGTTCGCGGCAAACGTGATTGAGGAGAGGTTGTTTGCTTTATTCATGCAGAATACAAGCCTGTTAATTCCCATATGACTGGTTCCTTTCGCCTAATCACAACACAACGCAGAGTAAAAGCGAGGACCGGTCACATTAGGTTTAGGGTTGGGGCAGATACCAATAAAATACAGTGTAACGGGTAATTTAATAAATAGAGTAAATAATTCTTGTTAAGGGCGGCACGGTGGCTCAGTGGTTCGCACTCTGACCTCACAGGAAGACGGTTACTGGTTCAAGTCCCGGTTGGGTCAGCTGGCGCTTCTGTGTGGAGTTTGCATGTTCTCCCTCTCTGTGTTCGCGTGGGTTTCCTCTGGGTGCTCTGGTTTCCCCCACAGTCCAAACACATGCGCTATAGGGGAATTGATCAACTAAATTGGCCATAGTGTATGAGTGTGTTTAGGTGTTTCCCTGTACTAGGTTGCGGCTGGAAGGGCATCTTCTGCATAAAAAAAACATATGCTGGAATAGTTGACGATTCATTCCGCTGTGGCGACCCCTGATAAATAAGGGACTAAGCCGAAGAAAAATGAATGAATGAATGATCTAGATCAGTGGTTCTCAAACTGTGGTACGCGTACCACTAGTGGTACGCGGGCTTCCTCCTAGTGGTACGCGGAGGAACCGCTGAATAATGAAAGAAACAATTAACACTTTTAATCCTTTAATGCGTAATATAACATCGATGTGATCAGCATTGGCTGTTTTGTGAAGCGTACGATCACAACGCTGTTGCTTAGAATGTTTATTTTAGTGCATTGAGTCATAAGCTGTTATAAATCATTTCCCGAAGTTTAAGAATTGATTCTGAAGCGTGATTTGACTGACATGAAAAGTGGCCAATCACAGTCGACCTTGTCTAGTTGCGTGAAACGTAAGGGCGGGACAAAGGCTTTCTGTGTTGCAGAGACAGAAAAAAACAACTTAAAAACAAATGTTTTGTTGGATTAATGCTTCTCGGATGTTTTCACTATAGAGATGTCTAGCAGAGTAATTAAACCGCGGACATATTTCCTGCCTATTTGATGATCTACAAACACGTTTCGCTCTCCGACAGCGAGTCTCTCGCCTCTGACCTGTCACTCCTCTAAATACATTCTGAATGGCGGCGCGGGAATGGAGGTATTGCGCAATTACTCATTTCTGCAAATGCGGCGAGTGCTTTATTTTAACACGAGAGCGCATTCATGTACGCAAATCGCTAAAACAGATATGTGAGCTCTTAAATATGCTTTTTTTTTCAAATGAACTGCAAGTGCTCGCATGATCGCCCGTGTGCTCAGATTGAATACAATCGCGATCTTTCCACTAATAAAGTCGACATTATTTATCTTTGCTCCTTAACTAAATTTAGTCAAAAGTATTCAAAGTTATTAAGTATTTAGAAATAGATTGATACATGATCGATGACAATGCTAATGGTCTTCTTATTTGGCTGTGTTTGTGAAGTGAAACTTACTTTTAGCAAAGGTGTATTTTTTATTTTTTTTCTTTACGACAAAAGAATTATGCTGGAAATGTTTCTGGATGAGGTATTTGTGTGATTTATACATTTAGCTGTATTCTGATCTGTCTTAAAGCATTACAGGTCAAAGCAATTCGTTGTTACTTATTGTTTATTTATCAAAATTAACAATAAAGATTTTAAAGCACTGCTTTGATAAATGTAGTGTTGTCATTTCAAATACCTCAAGTAAAATTAAGTCATTTGTTTTATTAATTTTTTTTTTTACTGACAGTGTACTTGTATTTTTTTTTAAAGTTTCTATTTTAGATTAGGTTAAATGTAAAATAAAATCTACATGTGATGTACAGCTTTTTAAGAAACAAATTTGCCATATTGTAAAGAAAAATAGTGTAAAATATGTAAATAAAAGGCTAAATTAAATCTTTTTACCATATACTTCAATTAAACCTTTCAAAGCTTGTAAATATCGTTTTAAAAAATGGGCAAAAAGTGTCTCTATGGCCTTAAAGATTATTTGGTAGTTTTACCAGTGCTATTGAAAAAGATTAATTGTCATGAAAGGAAAAATCGACCATACTTTCTTTGTTAGTGCAATTTCCTATACATGTAGCTTTGGTATTTAAGCAATTAAACCATTCAATCAGGTTTCCACGTAAAAAAAGTGATTTCATAATGAAAATCTGATTTTTCTTTTCAAAAGTAACCAACTAGTACTTTTTAAAAGAGTACTTTGTACTTTTACCTAATATTAATATTATTTACTAAAATTTGTGTTATTTTAGCAGTGTAATAGTATTTTTACTTGAGTACAAAAAAAATTTCACAAGCATTTAGTGCAGGTTTATTATATTATTAATATATGATTAATAAATATTATTTATTATTATATTTATTATATTATTATTTATTATATATGTTTTTTTTATTTGTATCTATTCCTATGCAATGTTTTATGGGTTGCTGAGAATACTTTTCAGGTCTTCAATACATGTCAGTCTTGAAAAAAAAAAATAGGTGCTGGAATTGATTTTCATTAGGCTGTGCCTGTATGAACCCTGTCATATGTACATTTAACATATATTTCAAGATATATCTGAAAGTGTAGGAATGTGATATATAGCTTATATTTATAAGGTAAAAGCAACATCTCCAGCTTTTGATGAATAGGCTACAATGAATACTTTAGATTTAAGTACAGCAGTCTTCTTTTTACTTTTTAAGAACAGCGCCATTTTTTAATGAACTTTTAAAAGCCCATTTTAACAAAAACTTTTTTTTTTAATCTGCAAGCACAGTTAATGTTCAGACTATTTCAAATGTTTAAAGTGAATGATAATAATACATATTCTTAATAATTGGAATTAATCTGCATCGTTTTTAAACTGTGCACACCTGTAGCTGCTTAATTAGGCCTATGACGCTATTTTTTAATACTGGTTAAAAAATAGCGTTGTAAGGTGGTACTTGGAGAGACAATTTTTTTCTCAGGTGGTACTTGGTGAAAAAAGTTTGAGAACCACTGATCTAGATCTATGATTTAGACATTTGCATTTCTACACTCTCAGAAATAAAGGTCACTGGGGTGTTGCCTTTTCGAAATGAACAAATTTGTACCTAAAAGGTCCATATTAATACCTCAGGGGTACATATTAGTACCTAAATAGTACAAAAGTGTTCCTCTTAAAATTTTTAGGTACTAATAAATACTTTTGAGGTACTAATATGCACCCTTTAAGTACAATCATTCATCCATTCGTTCATTTTCTTGTCGGCTTAGTCTCTTTATTAATCCAGGGTCATCACAGCGGAATGAACCGCCAGCTTATCCAGCAAGTTTTTAAGTAGCAGATGCCCTTCCAGCCGCAACCCATCTCTGGGAAACATCCACACACATTCACACACACACTCATAGACAACGGACAATTTAGCCTACCCAATTCACCTGTACCGCATGTCTTTGGACTGTGGGGGAAACCGGAGCACCCGGAGGAAACCCACGCGAAGGCAGGGAGAACATGCAAACTCCACACAGAAACGGCAACTGAGCCGAGATTCGAACTAGCGACCCAGCGACTTTCTTGCTGTAAGGCGACAGCACTACCTACTGCGCCACTGCCTCACCCAAATACAAACATGTACCTTTTTAAAAAGGCACCCCCCCCAGTGACAGCTTGCGTACCTTTATTTCTGAGAGTGCATTTTGAAATCTAAGGGATACAGTTGTGGCATGCACATATCAATACAGCACATTTTTATTGACGATGTACAGTATGAGTGTAACGGGTAGATGTTAAAAAAACAAAGTTTAATGGGTAATTTAATAAATATTATTCGTGAACTCTGTATCACTGTGTTTTGTTTTCAGTGCTTTGTATTATTCTCAGTGCCACACCCTCATTTGTTTTCATGATTCCCCCTGTTAGTCATTTCTGGTTTCGGTTTCCTGTCTCCTTGTTTGCATTTATTAAAGCTTTCAGGTTTGTGTGGTTCCAACTCTCATCTTTGCTCACCCACACCCAAACCATTACAGGCTGAGAGTAAATGATGTTTGAATTCACTTGTATTTTGACCTTTTCAAACATCACTCATGCAATGGGAATTGAGATCAGTGTAAGACTTTTACGCTACCTGACACCTATCCAGGTTTTAGGAAGAGCGAATAATAACTGGACTTCTAGCTGATGATTTGGTGTCAGAAGTGTCGTATATGAAAGGCAGAGGCCTCTAGATTTTGCTTATTTGAGCTCAATAAAATCTGATCATGCCTTGATGTTGACTGATTTGATGAGGACAGTGCGGTCTGACTCTGCTCAGACTAAAGTGTCATCACTGAACAGAAATAATGTCCAGTATAGAATATAAAGTCCTGCTGCAGTGGAGACAGAATGAATATTGTGTCTGACTCCATCATGAGCTTGGAGGACTGCATCCATACATCTCTGCACTGACTCAAATCACTGATTAATAAAGTCATCTGGAATGAAGAAGAAAGCCTTCAGCAGGATCCCAGAGCTCATCAAGACTCTTTGTGTTCATCTTCAACACCTCCTCCATCTTGTCACAGAAATGCTCAATAATGTTCATGTCTGGTGACTGGGCTGGCCAATCCTGGAGCAGCTTGAGCTTCTCTGCTTTCAGGAGCTTTGATGTGGATCTGAAGTATGAGCAGGAGCGCTATCCTGCTGGAGAATTGTCCCTCTCCTGTGGTTTGTAATGTAATGGGCAGCACAAATGTCTTGATACCTCAGGCTGTTGATGTTGATCATCCACTCTGCAGATCTCTCGCACGCCCCCATACTGAATGAACCCCAAACCATGATGTGTCCTTCACCAAACTTGACTGATTTCTGTGAGGATCTTGGTCCATGCTGGTTCCAGTAGGTCTTCTGCAGTATTGGTGATGATTGATGCAGATCAACATGATTCAGCAGAGAAATCCACCTTCTGACACTTTCACACACGATCAACTAGAAGTCAAGATAATATTTGCTGCTCTCACAACTGAGATCGACGACAAGACTTTTGTCATGCAATGTATTTTGAAATCAAGTTACACAACACTATCTGCCCTAAATAGTGCACCTGACACGCTTTACGACTGTAAGTGCAGACCACACCTAAAGATCAGCTGGTTTTATGAAATGACATTATCACACCATTCATCTGCTTCTCTGTTTCCACTCCCAGGTTTCTTTCAAAAATGAGCTTAGTGGGTAGCATGTTCACATCACAGCAAGAAGGTCGCTGGTTTGAGCCTCAGCTAGGGCAGTTGGCATTTCTGTGTGGAGTTTGCATGTTCTCCCCATGTTGGTGTGGGTTTCCTCTGGGTGCTCCGGTTTCCCCCACAAGTCCAAACACATGTGGTCCAGGTGAATTGGGTAGGCTAAATAGTTTGTAGTGTATGAGTGTGAATGAGTGTGTATGGGTGTTTCCCTGTGATGAGTTGCAGCTGTAAGGACATCCGCTGTGTAAAACATATGCTGGATAAGTTGGTGGTTTATTTCCCTGTGGTGACCCCAGATTAATAAAGGGACTAAGCGAAAAGAAAGTATAATATAAAGTATAAAATAAATAGGTAAATAAGTAAACAAATAAAAAGGTAAACAAGTAAATACATAAACAAGTAAATAAATAAGTAAATAGGTAAATAAATAAATATGTAAATAAATAAATAGGTAAATAAAAAGGTAAATAAATAAATAAATTAGGTAAATAAATAAATAGGTAAATAAATAGGTAAATAAATAAATAAATATGTAAATAAATAAATAGGTAAATAAATAAATAAATAAATAGGTAAATAAATAAATAAATAAATAAATAATCAAGTAAATAAGAAAAATAAATAAATAAGTAAACAAACAAATAAATAAATAAGTAAATAAACAAATAAGTAAATACATAAATAATTAAACAAGTAAATGAATAAATAAATAAATAAATAAATAAATAAGTAAATAAATGAGTAAATAAGTAGGTAAACAAATAAATAAATTGGTAAATAAAATAATAAGTAAATCAATAAACAAGTAAAAAATAAATAAATAAGTAAATAAGTAAATAAGTAAACAAGTAAAATAAGCAAGTGAATAAGGAATAAGCCAAAAAGTAAACAAGTAAATAAATAAAGTAAATAAGTAAATAAATAAGTAAATATAAATGAACAAATGAATGAATGAATGAATGAATGAATGAATGAATGAATGAAGTCTGAGTCCATAACTCTGAATGCTAAACAGCATTTGCAACCCATTTTACAGCTGTGATCTGATTATATACACATACAGACTGAAAAGAGATTTAAAGCGATTTAGAGTGGAGAGGGTTATGAGTAATCAATCAATAAATAAATACAAAATTGTATGAATGAATGAACACAAATTAAATAATAAACAAATGAATGAACACATCACATAAGGTACACATACATTACCATCCTATCTACTATTGTGAAAAGGCAAAGCTGCAAATCTATGGTTAAAGCCCCACACAGTGGTCAAAAGCTGCGGTCGCGACGACAGCAAGCACGGCAGCAGAGGGAGCATACTTAAATGGTGACATCTGAATATTTAAACATAATTATATATACATTTATGTATTCATTCTTTACATATAGGTATATAACCTACATGGTAACACTTCACAATAAGGTTGTATTAGTTAATGTTAGTTACTAATATACCATATGCATGATTTGCATAGATTTGCATGCATCAGATTTCTATTTAGGGGACTACTGCACTAAAGTCATGATATATCAATGGTAATTTTATTCTTTTGTTTCACAGAAAACAAAATAAATTGGGTTGAAGCTATGCCATGATACTGAGTAAATGTGCAGGTTTTCACTAAATAACATTTACCTCATCACTGCAACAGGACGAACTGCATTCATGATGATGTCCGTGTCTGTGATGACGTCCGAGGCCTAGGAGTCTGAGTCCATGATGATGATGATGATGATGGTGGTGATGTCCATGGTGATGGTGTCCATGGTGATGATGTCCGCGTCCCAATCCACGCCCGAATCCTCGTCCAAATCTGGGCCCTTGAGGCTGTATTTGCGGTCCATATCCTGGCCCTGGAGGCGGTAGTCCAGGTCCATATCCAGGTCCATATGCAGGCCCTGGTGGCTGTATTCCTGGTGCGAATCCTGGTCCTTGAGGCAGTTGTCCAGGCCCATATCCGGGCCCTTGAGGTGGTAATACAGGTCCATATCCAGGTCCAAATCCGGGCCCTGGAGGCTGTATTCCTGGTCCATAACCAGGCCCTTGAGGTGCTGGTCCATAACCCTAAATGCAAAAGAGCATTTGCAACTCATTTTACTGCTGTAACCTGATTATATACACATACAGACTGAAAAGAGATTTACAATTATGTGGAGTGAAGAGAGTTACGAGCAATAAATTAGTAAATAAATAAATATATAAATAAATAAGTAAATTTACAAATAAGTAAATAAATAAATAAATATACAGGTAAATATATAAATAAGTAAATAAATATAAAAACAATAAAACAAATAAGTAAATAAATAAGTAAATATATAAATAAGTAAATGATTGAATAAATAAATAAATAAATATGCAAGTAAATAAATAAATAAATGAGTAAACAAGTAAATATTTAAGTAACTAGGTGCATAAATAAATAAGTAAATAAACAAGTAAATAAATAAATGAATGAATTACTTAATTAAATGAATAAGTAAACAAGTAAATAAATAAATATGCAAGTAAATAAGTACATAGATAATTAAGTAAATAAATAAAAAAATAAAAAAATAAGTAAATAAATAAATAAACAAGTAAATTAGTAAATAAATTAATTACTTAATTAAATAAATAAGTAAATAAGTAAACAAGTAGTTAAGTACATAAGTAAACAAGTAATAATTAAATAAATTAATTAATTAATAAGTAAGTAAATAAATAAACAAATACATGAATAAATAAGTAAATAAGTAAACAAGTAAATGAGTAAATAAATTGATTAATTAAATAAGTAAATAAGTAAACAAGTAAATGAGTAAATAAATAAATAAATTAATTAAATAAATAAACAAGTAAATGAGTAAATATATAAATTAGGTAAATAAGTAAACAAGTAAACAACTAAATAAGTAAACAAGTAAACAAGTAAATGAGTAAATAAATAAATAAAATAAGTAAATAAGTAAACAAGTAAATAAGTAGACAAGTAAATTAGTAAACAAGTAGATAAGTAAACAAGTAAATAGAAAGCAAGTAAATGAGTAAATAAATAAATCAATTAAATAAGTAAATAAGTAAATGAGTAAATAAATTAATTAAATAAGTAAATAAGTAAATGAGTAAACAAATAAATAAATTAAATGAATAAGTAAACAAGTAAATGAGTAAATAAATAAATTATTTAATTAAATAGGTAAATAAGTAATCAAGTAAATAAGTAAACAACTAAATAAGTAAACAAGTAAATGAGTAAATAAATAAATAAAATAAGTAAATAAATAAACAAGTAAATGAGTAAGTTAATAAGTAGACAAGTAAATTAGTTGACAAGTAAATTAGTAAACAAGTAAGCAAGTGAATGAATGAATGAATGAATGAATGAATGAATGAATGAATGAATGAATGAATGAATGAATGAATAAAGGAAGGAAGGAAGTCCAGGTCCATATCCCTGAATGTAAAGCAGTATTCGCAACTCATTTTACTCCTGTAACCTGATTATATACACATACAGACTGAAAAGAGATTTAATATTATGTGGAGTGAAGAGAGTTAGGAATCTTAAAAAAAAACAACTAAACAGATAAATTAATGAATAAACGTACAAATAAATGAATTATAGAATGAATGAAGTCCGGGTCCATAACCCTGAATGCAAAACAGCATTTGCAACTCATTTTACTGCTGTAACCTGATTATATATACATACAGACTGAAAAGAGATTTACAATTATGTGGAGTGAAGAGAGTTATGAGTAATACATAAATAAATAAATACATGATTGAATGAATAAACAAGCAAATAAATGAATAAATAAATGGTTGAATGAATGACCGAACAAATAAATGAATAAATAAACGAATGAACAAATGAATGAATGAAGACCGGGTCCATAACCCTGAATGCAAAGCACCCATTGATTTGAAGTGAAGAGGATTATAAGTAAAAAAATAAATAAATCAATAAATGATTGAATGAATGAATAAATAAATAAATAAACATTTATATCAACAAAATAAAAAGCATTCTATCACAGCATTTATTAATATTCAATAAGATGAGATTATTTTCATAATTTTCATGAGTTAATATTTTTACCATAGCTACGTTGTTTCCATACCCAAATGGTGCCTGCACATCGTTTGCTGTCTGCTTTCTCACCACTTCGTCTGCCATAGCTGACAAAAACAGACTAATTAGATTTACTCCATTATTAACTACATCATAAGTATGAGGATAAGTTAACAGGGTTTACCTGAAGACAGATCTATGATGTCTGAATTTGTGTGATGTGATCTCTTTGACAGCAGTATTTATGCACATCCGTGTTTTTCAAAGGAGTGGGCGTGACCTGTGGGCGTGGCTTCACGTGCTCTGTTGCTGTAATGAGCGGGGCTAAACTCAATGAGCTCTGCTTTCTAGGATATAAAACCAGCTGTTGTATATAGGACGAACTGGCGTGTTAATACTAATAATGTTATGCCAAATAAGTCTGCAAGAGCGAATGTTCATCTCATGAATATTAATGAACTAGTGTTACGTGATTGGATAAAAGACGTCAGTAGGTATAAGTGAGTGTGTTGGATAATTCTTAGATCGTGTTTAATTGTTAACTAGGTAACACTTTACCATAAGGTAGTATTAGGTAATGGTATTTAATACATTCACACGAACAAACAATGAGCAGTACATTTATTTATTTATGTTTTTCATTCTTTTATAGCACATTTTAATCTGTTTTAGGTAATTTTTATTCTTGGTTTTTTTCTTTCTTATACTTGTCTCTTTTATTCCTGTTTACCAAAAGCACTTTGAATCACCACTGTGTATTAAATGTGCTTTATAAATAAACTTTCATTGCCTATGTTAATGGAGATACAGTTCATTGTTGGTTCACAGTGGAATAACTAATGTTAACAAGCATGAATTTGGATTTTAATAATGCATCAATATTGAACTATGATTAATAAATGCTCTTCCAATATTGTTCAGCGAGTTTGCCATCAGTTTGACAAGTCAGCCACCTTTTGTTAAATAATTTCAAACCGCAATAAAATACCTCCACATTTTCCATACTGCTCTTTTTGTTTGCATAACACTTTTATTTACAGTATTGTAATTATTGATAGTATTGAAGTATTGAAATTCTAGATTCACAGACTTTATTTTTGACACATTATTTAAAATATGTGGCTAAAAAATAGCTATTAACTTCCCTTTTTTTCTTGGTGGGGCCAGTGAAAATTTTGGCAGGGCAAGTGCAAATCTAATCCACTTGCCGGATCGGACCAGTAGAAAAAATGCTTAGCGTTGAACCCTGAATATGACTTTGGGTTAAGATTCTGGCTCGACGTTGGATTTTGGTCACTTTCCATCACAATCTGAAGTCAACTCAATATCAACGTCATTATTGGACATCAAAATAACGTTATCCTTAGACGCTGGTTAGACATTGAATTGTGCTCAGCTGACATCACAACCTAAATCGAACCTAATATTAATGTCTTATGACGTTGTGTGCCTGCTGGACAATAGCTAATTGCACTACAGAATGTTACGTTTACACACATCCACACATTACATGTAAATGCATCAGCTTTAACAGCGTAATACTCACTACTCAAGTACTTTAGAAAGGGCTACTTTTTACTGATACTTTGAGTAATATTTACAACAGGTACTTTTACTCTACTTACACTACATTTTCAGGCAAGTGATGGTACTTTTACTTAAGTATGATTTGTCAGTACTCGTTCCACCACTGGTCAAGATTATGTGGCCCACATATCAAGTTTTACTATAATACTACTAAATAGGCGACGCGGTGGCACAGTAGATAGTGCTGTCGTCTCACAGCAAGAAGGTCCCTGGTTCAATCTGGTTCAAGCCTCAGCTGGGTCAGGTTTCTGTGTGGAGTTTGCATGTTCTCCCTGCATTCGCCATGGGTTTCCTCCTGGTGCTCTGGTTTCCCCCACAGTCCAAAGACATGTGGTACAGGTGAAACGGGTAGGCTTAATTGTCCATGGTGTATGAGTGTGTATGGAAGTTTCCCAATGATGGGTTACAGCTGGAAGAGCATCCGCTGTGTGAAACATATGCTGGATAAGTTGGTGGTTCATTCCGCTGTGGTGACCCCAGATTAATAAAGGGACTAAGCGGAAAAGAAAATGAATGAATACTACTAAATATTTGACATCTGGCCCAAGACTTGTGTGCCAAACCTGGGCCGGTTTGGCCCACATGCTGTACACCAGTGCCTGATGAATGGGTAACACTTTACAATAAGGTTCATTAGTTAATGCATTTACTAACATGAACTAATCATGAACAACACTTGTACACAACCCGGGCTCATTGTGGAAATGTAGCCCCGCGGACGTTTCTGCGGACCGCGATTTACGTCCCGGGAGGTACGTATTCGAGCGTTTTTTTGTTTTCGCGGATCCGCGAGAGGCCGCTGTGCGCGCTTTTTCGCGTCTCGGGCGCCTCTCGGGAGCGCGCGGCGTTCGCGCCAGCGCTGTTCTCGCGCGAAAAGCCGCCGGATCGAAAAAAAACAAAAAAAGCAAAAGCCCTCGTCTTCGAATTCGACAGCGTTTTCGGATCTCGCCGCGTTCTCGCCCTTATTTTTCGGATTCCGTTTTTCGTCTTACCTGATTTCCGGAACCTGCTGTTCCCCGGACTCGATCCCGGTCGTCGTCCACCGCGCCCGGCTCCGGCTCCTCCTCCGGGGCCTCCTCTCTGCAGACGCAACGCTGTGAGCTAAGCGGATAAACTGATTGCATCGGGAAAGCCCTCCACTCGGAGGTGAGCCGTCGGTCGGCGAGCGCGAAGAGGAGGGGCAGAGCGGCGCCACACCGCCCCGCAGCGTTTGCTCGAAAAAAATCAAACGCGGCCTTTCCATACCTCCGACCACGTAAATCGCGGTCTCCAGAAACGTCCGCAGGGCTACGTTTCCAGAGTGAGCTTGGGTTGCATGTACAGCATTTATTAATCATAATTGAACATTTACTAATGCATTATTAACATCCAAGTTCATGCTTGTTAACATTAGTTAATGCACCATGAGTTAACATGAACTAACAATGAACTACTGTATTTTCATTACCTAACGTTTACTAACATGAACAAATACTGTAGTAAATGTATTGCTCAATGTTTGTTCATGTTAGTAAATGCATTAATTAACATTAACTAATGAACCTTATTGTAAAGTGTGACCAATGAATGTTTGTTGTGCAAGCTTAATTCCAATTCTGGGCCAGAATTCTTTGCCACATGGGTTTAACCATTTAATCAAAATAATAATGTTCAAAGAAAGGTCTACTCATTTATGCTGAGCAGTACAGTTTGCTCCTTGCCATTCTGATTTCTGATTCTGAATCCTATCGCATTGAAGAACAGACGTCATAACTGTGAAATAAAAAGTAGCAACGACCCCAGCAAGGACCTGTAAAACAGTGAAAACACACCTTTGGCTCAAAACATGTACAAACATTAACCAGCAAAAGCAGTTTCTCTGGTTTTCTGACGTCTCGGGTGTGTCTCATTACTCAAATGCTTTTGTCAAACACTCGAAAGATAACCTGTGACAGACCACATGAGCAGGGTTTGTATAGTTTATTCCTTGAACACATGATCTTTGTGTCATCTTTCTCATGTGACCTGCTCTGTCAGATTACTGAGTGTAAAACTTGAACACGCTGCAATTCAATGTAGATAAGTGTCGGCTGAATTGTTAAATACGCCAAGCTGAAACCTGCTGAAATACACTCACAAAACCCTGCATTTTATACATTCAGTCATTTTCCTTTGGCTTAGTTGCTTTTTTTCACCACAGCGGAGTGAACCGCCAACTTGTCCAGCATATGTTTTACGCATGATAAAAAAAGGACTAAGCTGAAGGAAAACGAATGAACGAAAATCTAATTATTTTGTACTCTACATAAAATTTTCTATATTTTACTCTGTATTATATTAAGCAGCGGTTTTCAAACTTTTTTTCACCAATTACCACCTCAGAAAACAATTGTCTCTCCAAGTACCACCATAATGACCAGTATTGAAATAAAGATTCTTAGTTGGCCAAATTAAGCAGCTACAGCACTGCACAGTCCAAAAACGAGGCAATCATATTCATATTTATATAACAGTTCTGTCTGGTTCTTGAATCTGATTGGCTGATAGCTGTAATATATTTAAGTAATATCAGCACCCGTACAGCCTCTTCACCCTTTGTGTATTACTCCGCCCACATACAGCCAGCAAAAAGCAGACACTACAGATCTAAAGTGTAAAAGATGCTTGCTCAACTGTTTAACTGTCAGCTTATGATTTGAATCCAATGCGGAAGAAAGTAGTTCCTCATACAAAAGGGTTTTTAAGACTCTCCATGTTTGATTTTGTTTTTATATACTCAATTATGCCGTCAAACTGTTGTATAAACGCAATATCACATGAGTAGCAGTGCGATATTGCTGTATATCGGCACTGGTGGGAGTGCTAAACGGACGCCACCCACCAGTGCAGTTGTACAGCCATATCACACTGCTACTCGTGTGATATTGCTCATTTATACAATTTTTGATACATTTTTTAATATTTGTTGCATGTGCATGTGACATATTTGTCAAACTTTTTGAAATCTAAACATTAACTTATATGTAGATTGGTAGAGAACCCGTTTTTCTCAGAGGATGTCAAGCTGACAAAACAGTGCTGCACTCTGATACATGCTTTATTTATGGAGAAATTAAAAAGCACGGCCGTGTTTGGGTGTTGTGTGTTTGTCTGCGTTAGTCGAGCGAAATTAAATTCCATACAAAATATGAAGCTCAATCGGTTCTTGTCACGTGACTCGCGGTGCGGCATTCTGGAAAGTTAAAATGTTTTCATCTGGGCACGCCTGGAATCAGGGCCGGAGTGGGACTCCTTTTCAGCCCTTGAGTTTCAAGCATTAGACCGGCCCACCTCAGTTCACAACTGACTATATTAAAATAAGATCATTTCCAATTCAGTTACTAATTACACTATCACATGTTTTTGAAGAAAACAGCTGCTTTAGTACTTCAAATGTTCAACAACCGTATGCTGCGGTCACTCCAGACGCGGCACGCGCGTCAAGCGCAAGTGATTTACATTTTAGGTCAATGCAAACGCGCTTATAGACATCCTGCGGCGCGATATGCGCGAATGGCACGGCGCGAATGACGCAAATTGCGCGAATGGCGCGGGGGGAATTGAGCGTTTTGCGCGTTTGACGTGCTTAATGAGCGTTTCGCGTGAATCTCTCGAATTCAAAAAATCTGAACTTCAGCGTACATTCGCGCCGCGTTAACCAATCAGAAGCTTGCTCTTGTGGGGGCGTGATTGTGACGTAGAACTTGTTGTCGGTGTTACGAGGTAAATCCTTCAGCCTTCACCGACAATAGTTCATCAAACTTGGCTTGGCTCAGTCAGAAGCACCGCTGAAAGCCTCCGTCATCCAGGTTCAGTTTCTGGAGGAGTTTATGAGCTCACAGAGCTGGATGCACCTCTGAAAGGATCTAGTGGACTCAGACACGACCATAAACGTATCGACGCTGTTTTTTAGTCTTCATAAAGCACATAAACACTGTTATTTTCTTCATAAAATCCATGTTAGCCATTTAACTATGAAGCTATGAGTCTTCGGGCAGACAAAAGCCCTGCCCATCACGCGAATCCGCATCTGTTCTGAAGTGAATTTGACGCGCGAATGAAGGGGTGTTTGACGCACGAATGAAGCGAGTAAACTCAAATGTTCACGCGGCTATTTACACGCGAATAGCACGATTTATCAGCGCGTTCCGCGTCTAGTGTGAACACAGCATCACAGTTTTATATGTCTTAACAATAAAAAAAAGAATTACTCAGGTGAGGATTGAACATGGATCAACGACATCATAACACAACATGCTGACCACTGGACCACAACGGCGCTGTTGCGCTTGTGTGGCCGGAATGATAGTTACATCATCGTTACCCTGCAGGCTGCATTTTGCTCATGGGGCTGCGAGACAATAAATAAGAAGAGCGGAGCTGCGGCAAAATAAAGAATAAAAAGAGTGAGGCTGTGGTCAAATAAATAAATAAATGAAAAAAAAATTGTGACTGCTGAGAGTGCAAGCAGCTAGAAACTGGCTCTCGCGGCCATAAAACAGACCGGCACACTGGGAACTTTCTCTGTCCTCCCCCAATTGGCCTATCCGGGCCTGCCTGGAATACACAAGCGCGTTATGCTGCAGTTCTTACTCTTCTTTTTTTTAGCCTGTAGGTTAACTTTTAAGGCTTGTTTTTCAAAATAAAAGATTTTCCCAAATAGATGATCGTTCAGAGTCAGATAATAAATACAACGGAAATAATTCATGATTTTTTTTGTGAGGCCTGGTACCAATTGATCTATAGAACGGTGCCGGTCTGTGGCCTGAGGGCTACTGCTTAAGCGCAAATCTGCTCTGCAGGCATCCTGCACCTCTGTCTCTAGTTCTGCGCTAATAGAATAGATTTTTAGCAGCTGATGACGTGATGCATTAAACATTCTAAGCACAGCACTTTGATCGTAGGCTTTAGAGAACAGACAATGCTGATCACTTTGGTGTTATTGTATTCATCAAATGATTACAGTTGTATTCATTTTTCTCTTTCTTTACTTGGTGATTTCTCCGCGTACCACTAGAATTAAGACCGCATACCACTAGTGGTACGAGTACCACAGTTTGAGAACCAGTGATGTACTGCAATTTGATGAGTCTTGTGGCTGTTTTTAAATGTACTCTACAAATAAATGAATTTGAAGTTTTGATTATTATCATTTTATTATTCTGACTGAATGTGCTGAATGTCTGAGGTTGTGAGGTTGCTATAGAGACATGTCTCCCGCTTTCTTCGGTTAGAGCGCACGCCCCTGTTGAAATTATGGCTAAAGTCTAGGAAGACGTGCAGATTTATACTGTGGTTCCCCTCACTATCTGTGGTTCCGAGAAAGACAGTCACACTGTCTGTGCGGTGAGCTTATCGGACCAGATCACTCGGCCTCAAGTTCAGTCTCTGATCTTACTCCAAGATGTCAACAAGAATAGTTTCATAATGGGATGCACGCATCGAACTGACATCTCAACATATCCATGAATTCCAGCTCCGACCTGAAAAAACACGTAATGGTGAGTGGCAAAATTATCCATATTTGTAGACCTTATTAATGGTAACTGTGGGATAACTAAAGAAACTGCTGTTTAATGGACTAACTGATTAGCCCTGCACACATCAGTCATTTAACCATAAAAATATAACATTTAAACATTATTTTTAACATATAATTGCTTTAACAGAACAATATTAACACATTTCAATAGTTTTAATATCTCATCTCTAATAACTGATTTCTTTTATCTTTGCCTTGATGACAGCACATAATATTAGACTAGATGTTTTTCAAGATGCTAGATATTTCGTCACCTTCGAATCAAAAGGTTCTGTCTGACATTTTCGCAAAATTGAGTTATTCACATATTCTTAATAAATGACAGCTTACTTACATTAAAGGATGTTTTTTATAAGTTGTTTACATTTTAAAGCTTTTTATTTAAAAACAAATGTAACACACATACTGTTTGCTATACGGAATGCAAAAACTTTGAAGCAAAAAATCTCAAAATCATTAAGAACGCAGAGAGGACCTTATAATTCTAAGGTGATGATTTTTCAAGTGACATTTAAAGGCTTAACCAGGTTAATTCGACAAGTTAGGGTAATTAATGATGGTTTGGTCTGTACTAGACAATCAAATTAAATATTGCTTAAGGGGGGTTATAATTTTGACCTTAAAATGGTTTTAAAACATTAAAAACTGTTTTTATTTTAGCTGATATAAAACAAGTAACATCTCCAAAAAAATATACTATATAAATATAATATAAAAAAGAAATACTATGAATATATATATATATATATATATATATTCATATATAAATGAAAAGTAACTAGGCGACGCAGTGGTGCAGTAGGTAGTGCTGTGGCCTCACAGCAAGGAGGTCGCTGGGTCGCTGGTTCGAGTCTCGGCTCAGTTGGCGTTTCTGTGTGGAGTTTGCATGTTCTCTCTGCGTTCGCGTGGGTTTCCTCCGGGTGCTCTGGTTTCCCCCACTGTCAAAAGACATGCGGTACAGGTGAATTGGGTAGGCTAAATGTATGAGTGTGTGTGTGTGTGAATGTGTGTGTGGATGTTTCTCAGAGATGGGTTGTGGCTGGAAGGGCATCCGCTGCATAAAAACGTGTTGGATAAGTTGGCGGTTCATTCCGCTGTGGTGACCCCGGATTAATAAAGGGACTAAGCCGACAAGAAAATGAATGATTAAATGAATAAATGAAAAGTAACTCATCAATATTTACTTGAGTAATTTTTTTACAGATATTTTTTACTCTTACTCGAGTAACTTTTAAGGTTGTTACTTTTACTTTTACCAGAGTAAAAATTTCTGCAAGTACTTGTACTTTTACTTGATTATGGATACTCTACCCACCTCTGCAAGTATGTTCAATGAGCATGTTTCTGAATATCTGCACACATATGATGCTGTTCTCATGCTTTAGAAGAGTCAAATACCTTACAGCAGCTTAAGCATATCAAATCAATGCACTATATGTAGGCCACTGCAGCAACGATGTCACATGCAAACAATTAATTTCTAATTTGATCTTTGGACCGGTATTTTGTTCTGTTTTATTATGTTTTATTGGACTTGAAAAGGATGAGACACTTTAATTATCAAACTTTGGAATATTTGAGTTTCAACAGTGCTGCAAACTATGAATGGGGAAAAAAAGTGGAAACAGGAAGAGGAACAGTGAAGACAGAAAGTACACTTAAAACTGATTATTGTGCATAATAATGAAATTCTGAATAATAAACTAGCGCAGACACACACTGCATTAGCACAATTTGTTTTGGTTTGTTTAACAGCAAGACCCCAAACCAGAGACTCCAGGCATGAATGGATATCATTTCATAGGTATTTGGAGTGCTCAGACCTGGTATTTTTCCTCCAGTTATATAAAGAAATCCAACAAGTGGGTTATGTTTGAAACCAACATGTAAAACCACTGCTCGAGAAAAACATCTGTAAACATTTGTTGCGGAACTCAAATCTTTAGTGTCTCAATAAGGCCCGATCCAAACTCTTGTCTTCAGCTTCAGTCCTAGAAAAACAGAGGGAACAATGTCAACTTTAACAGTTCAATGATAGATGAAAATGACTATTACCATTTTATATACAGTGGTGTGAAAATTGTCCGACCCCATGTTCTCACACTTTAATATTTCACTTCATCAAACACATATAAATATAAACACGAGTAAACACATCATGCAGTTTCTAAATCAAGGTTTTTATTATTAAGGTAAAACAAAACCCAAAAACTACATAGCCCTGTGTGAAAAAGTGTTCACCCCCTGTTAAAACATAACTTAACTATGGTTTATCATACTTCAGATCAACTTCTCCAGTTACACCCAGGTCTGATTACTGGCACGCCTGTTTGCACCTGCCTAACAAACTGAAGTAGACCAACAGATAATCGAAAGCTAGACATCAAGCCGAGATCCAGAGACATTCAAAACAAAAGAAAATGATTGACCAGTCCGAAAACCCTACTGAAAAAGACAGCTTAAACCAGCCTAGGCTGGTTGGCTGGTTTTAGCTGGTCGACCAGGCTGATTTTAGAGGGGTTTTGGCCATTTCCAAGCTGGTTTCCAGCCATTTCCAGCCTGGTCTTAGCTGGTCAAGCTGGGAGATGACCAGCTAAAACCAGCTTGACCAGCCTAGCCAGACTGGGAGCCAGCCAAAACCAGCCATGTCCAGCTTAAACCAGGCAGGTCGAGCTGGTTTTAGCTGGATTTAGCTGGATTTAGCTGGTCATTTTCCAGCCTGATAAGCTAAGACCAGGCTGGAAATGGCTGAAAACCAGCTTGGAATTGGCCAAAATATCTCTAAAACCAGGCTGGTCAACAAGCCAACCAGTCTAGGCTGATTTAAGCTGGATTTTTCAGCAGGGGAAGGTTATAAAGCCATTTACAAATGGCAAAAACATAGAACAGTGGAGAACCTTCCTAGGAGTGGACAGTCGACCAAAATTAACTCAAGAGTGCACCGACAACTCATCCGAGAGGCCGTAAAAGACCCCACAAGAACAAGTACTGCAGGTCTCAGTCAAGGTTGGTGTTCATGACTTCACCATAAGATAGTGAAGGATTCGGATTTCTGCCTTCCAATCCGTCTTATCATAAATCAACGTTTATCCTTTTCGCATGTCCTGTTTCTCATTATTTTTATTAAATATGATGATTTGATTATTTAAATGGATATTTAACTTTGAATTGATTTTAACTAATGGATAAGTTAACACACGGCTTAATATAAGAATGTTCAGTGCATTTGCCTGGCTCTTTATAACTATTTTCAGAAGCCACCAATCTAGGTCAGAGGTCACGGAGATCTTGAGTGGAACTGAGGGCTGAGGACTGGAAGCAACTGTTTATATTGTTATTTCTATGAGTTAAAACTATCTTAAAATAAAGTGATTTTGCTTTTTTTTTTTTTTTTTTTTTTTTTTTTTTTACAGTTCATTCTTTTAAAGTATTCTACTTTTGATAGAGTTTGTGTAGTAAGGAAATTATAACTGCCAGAATGTAGATTATACTGGTTTTTAACAACCATTTAACGACTTTATAAAGACGGCTGAGAGTACACTCAGCCTTGGATTAGAAACAGATTGTATGTTAAGTGTGCGTGTTCTATTTGATTGTGGATCCGTTTTACAGGTCTGGAGTCAGCTCTAAAAAGTCTAGTGGATGTCTGACGTTTATGCTTGAGATATTGTTCCGAATTGTATGCACGAACCCCACGTGGAAATTTTCCTTGTCTATCTGTGTTTTAACCAATCATGTATGACGCATTTGATGACGTTATGTGAGAGTATAATTGTTATTGATTGGTGATTGTAAGCAGGGCGGCCTAGGAACTCATTGTGAGTGTTGAAGCTGGCTTCTGCTGATGAAACTGCAAACTATCTTCAGGTAACTTCATTTATTAATTTGAATCTCTGACTCCGGCTCTTCTTCATCTGACAGACTGCTCATTCTTTGGGTCAAACTGTATACCATCCCTACAATAGAGACAAAATGGATTGCTTGGCCCATGTTCCCAAACAAAAACCACTGCTGTCGAAAAAGAGCATGATGGCTCAGTTTTGCCAGAAAACATCTTCATGATCACGAAAATGTTTGGGAAAATATAATAAAAATAATTCATTACATTTATATAGCGCTTTTCTGGACATTAAAAGCGCTTCACACATTTTTGGGGGGAGGATCTCCTCATCCACCACCAGAGTGCAGCATCCACCTGGACGATGCGACTGCAGGCATATTTCACCAGACCACACACCACACACCATTGTCTGTGATTGGTGGAGAGGAAACAGAGTGATTAAGCCAAAACTATATGGGGATGATTAGGAGGCCATGATGGAGAGGCTAGTATGCAAGTTTGGCCACGATGCCGAAGCTAAACCCCTACTCTTTTTCAAAGAACATCCTGAGATTTTTAACGACCACAGAGAGTCAAGACCTCGTTTTTTTTTTTTTTTTTTACATTTATTTGTGATTATTTTCTCAAGCTTTAACAAAACATTTTGTACATTTAAAGTTAAAATTTTCCCTCCATTTTTGAACAGTCGCCGAAATGAATTAGCAAACAAATAAACTTTAAATACAATTGCAACAGGAATGGATAAAAGTATAGCAAAAATGAAAATGTTAATAATAATAGTAAATAAATAAATAAAAAGAATAAAATTATAATAATAAAAAATGTATAAAAAATAAATAAATAAACTTTGAAAATAATTCAAATAAATAATTACCTACAGTACCTGATAATACAAATCAATATTCTGTTACATTTATAGTGGTCATTTACATAAATATCAAACTAAACCATATTGGTGATCACGTTTAAACCTGTTTGCACAGATTTATTTATATAAATCAGTTAAAGGAGAGAGTCTTCCTTTTTTCAAACTATGTGATCATAGGTTGCCATGTCTCATAACATTTTTGGACAGATCCCTTCATCAAATACTTAATTTTCTCTTATTTGAAATACAAAATCAGATCACACATCCACATTGAAGCTTTAGGTGAAGCTGTTGATTTACACTCAAGTAGTATTCTTCTCCTTGCTAACAAAGTAGCGAAGGCAAATACATTTTTTTCCCTTGTTTGTCAACAATTTATTGTGTTCTGGTACACCAAAGATAGCTAACTCAACACTAGGTTTTATCTCTAAATTAAAGGCACCATTTAAATGACCTCGGTGTACGTCTCATCCACAAAGATGGCGCTCACTGACAGTATAGAGTCCCCATCACTATACTTGGGCATCAGGACCCACAGAGACCACAGGTTGAGCGCCCCCTGCTGATCTCACTAACAGCACTTCCAGCAGCAACCTAGCTTTCCCATGTGGTCTCCCATCCAGGTACTGACCAGCCACAGAACTGCTTATAGCTTCAGTAGGCGACCAGTTGCAGAGAGGTAGTTTCCAGCACATCCTGGACTGACGAGACAAAAGTTGAACTTTTTAAAGGGTGTGTGTCCCATTATGTGTTGCGTAAAAGTAACACCGCCTTTCAGAAAAAGAACATCATACTAACAGTGATGGTGGTAGTGTGATGGTTTGGGGCTGTTTTTACTGCTTCAGGACCTGGAAGACTTGCTATGATAAATGAAGTATCAAAGTATTCTCCTGCTAACTGTTAGTGACCTCAAGCTTGGGTTCAGCAGCAGAACAATGATCCAAAACACACAAGCAATCCCCCTTCTTAATGGCTGAAGAAAAACTTATTGAAGACTTCAGAGTGGCCTTGTAAAATCCCTGACCTGAATCCAGTTGAGATGCCGTGGTATGACCTTAAAGAAGCGGTCCATGCTTTACAACTATTCTGCAAAGACGAGTTGGCAAAAATTCCTCCACATCACAGTAAGAGACTCCATGCAAAATGCTTGATTGCAGTTGTTGCTGCTAATGGTCGCCCAACCAGTTATTACAGTAGGTTTAGGGGGCAAACACTTTTTGCACACAGGGCTAAGTGGTTTTGTATTTTGTTTTCCCTTAATAATAAAGACATTCATTACATAACTGCATGATGTGTTAACTTGTGATATCTTTGACTAATATTTGAATTAGTTTGATGATCTGATACATTAAAGGGTGACACAACATGCAAAAAAAAAGAAAATCAGCAAGAATTCAAGCCAATGTTTTACACCAGTGTACATGAAAATTAATAGTATAAGTGTCTGTTCATATATTACATGTTTTAGTGTACTCAAGTGTACTATTAAATCCAGCAGCCTATGTCCTCTGCAGTGAATGGGGCTCCAGCATCATGTCATAAACCAGATGCAATGGCATGGAGAATTAAAGTTACAAATTGTAAATAACTCCCGAAGGGGGATCAGCTGAAGTAACTTACATGTGAATGGGGTTGAATTTGGATGAAAACGTACTCACTATTTCTTTATTAATATATCTTTTCAGATCAGAAAATGACTCTTGGACTTAATGTGCAGATGAGGCTTCTATTCAGTACGTATATCTCCAAGTAAATCATGTTTGTCCTTTTTTGTGCATGTAAACCGGTTAGTTTGCATAACAGAAGGGAGTTCACAGAAGACTATTAGTTTGAACTCGTCTGACCAGCTGTTCTTGCATGTTTAAACTGGCAAGGTTTGTTTTACCTTGCTTAATATCTCCAGATAACTGTAAAAGACTAATACTAAGACTAAACTTCTGAGTATGATTTTTTTGCATGTGTTACCAACTACTGTTATGATGTTTTTAAGGTTCTTTTTGCTCGAAGATCTCATGTTCCACAAAACAAAATGAATTTAGCTTTAATGACATGATGCTGAGTGAATGTGCAGGTATTTAATAAATAAGCACAAATGTTTACCTCATCACTGCTCGATGACTTGCGTCTACGATGATGTCCACGTCCGTGTCCATGGCCATGATGGCGCTCCTGTCCGTGATGATGTCCAAATCCGCGTTGGTGTCCGTGTTCATATCCATATCCGGGTCCTTGAGGTTGTCCATATCCAGGTCCTTGAGGTTGTCCGTATCCAGGTCCTTGAGGTTGTCCGTATCCAGGTCCTTGAGGTTGTCCATATCCAGGTCCCTGAGGTTGTCCATATCCGGGTCCTTGAGGTTGTCCATATCCGGGTCCTTGAGGTTGTCCATATCCGGGTCCTTGAGGTTGTCCATATCCAGGTCCTTGAGGTTGTCCATATCCAGGTCCTTGAGGTGGTCCATAACCAGGTCCTTGAGGTGGTCCATATCCAGGTCCTTGAGGAACTCCGGGTCCATATCCAGGTCCTTGAGGCACTCCAGATGCTGGTCCATATCCGGGTCCTTGAGGCGCTACGGGTCCTGGTCCATACGCGGGTCCTTGAGGCACACCAGGTGCAGGTCCATATCCAGGTCCTTGAGGCAATACGGGTCCGGGTCCTTGAGGCACTACAGGTCCAGGTCCATATGCAGGTCCTTGACCCTGAATGCAAGAGGACCAGATCTCGTAATGAATTTAAATGATTTTCATATCAACGTTATTTTCGGATCAATGGGATTTCAGCCTACTAGTACAGGTTTTGTTGGTATCATATTAGTTTCTGCAAGATGTTTGTTTATGTTAGTACATTTTCATACATTTGATTTCAGTAAATGTTCTTTCAAGATTTAGTTATTAATCATTTTACATTTTTTTCATTTTCAAAAATCAGTAGAGCACAAAAAGGACAATACCACTGGGACTAAAGTCTTGTTGAGGTCATTTCCTCGTGCATTAGAAACTTTCATTCACTGTCATGATCAAAACGTCTTACCGCTGTCATGTCAAACGCATTATATTTATTCTTCTTTGAGAAGAGTCCCTCCACCTCGTTTCCCTCCTCCTTCTTCACCTCCTCTTCTCCTCCAACAGCTGGCAAAAACAAACATTTAGTTACACACTAAAATCATTCAGTAAAATGATGTAGAAGATGTATAAGTGAACAGCATTTACCATCAGCCAGATCCATGATGAATGAGTTTGTGTGAAGTGATCTCTATGACAGCAGTATTTATCCAGTGTTTTAAGCAGAGGAGGCGGGGCCAGTGGGTGCATGTCTCCTGTGGGTGTAAACTAGCCACACCCAAATTATGCCCAGTATTCTATCATTAAATGAAACCCCACCCACATTCAGAGAGGCGGAGCTTAAATAAGCACTCCTTGGCCCAGAGCATAAAACCAGTTATTGTGGTTCTGAAAGTAGGCTGGCTGATGAAGGATCCTAAGACCAGAATTATTATTTATTATCTATCAGATAACACTATAAACAACTTTCATATCAGTGTTATTTTTGCATCAATGTTTTTCTCTCACACAATTCAGAGTTTTGAGTTTACATCTTTCAATTCTGAGTTTTTTCCTCTCCAATTTCTATATTAACATTTTGCACTTGACAGCTTTGTCACAATTATGACCCTTTATCTTTGAAAATTAGAGATTACATCTCGCAATTGTTATTTGTTTGTTTTTTGTGTCTGCAATATAATCAGTCCATAGAAACTAAACCGCTAGAGGCAACTATAAAACAGAGACTCTAACTTTGGCACAAATAAAATCACTTGTTTCTCTGACATCCATGTCGGGTGTGCCTCATCACAAATCCTGCCTCAAATGCTTCTGGCAAAACACTCATAACGATGAGCCATATTTGCCCAAAAGCAGGTATTGAACATTCCTGATCTGTGACTCACCTCAGAAGAGCAGAACTGGTTTCAGAGCTGTTATGGCTTGAAGTTAAAGTCCATTCACTTTAAGAGGTATCTATTTTACCCCTTTTTCAAGATTTAATGCAAGTCTTTTGTGTCTCCAGAATGTGTCTGTAAAGTTTCAGCTTAAAACACTCTTTAGATTATTTATTAGACTCCTTAGAACATTAGAACTTTCTGCTCTTAACAGTGTGTTGCTGTTTTTAGTGCCTGTAACGCCCCATTCACTCTTGAATGGGTGACGTCAAGAGTTGCCGAACTGAATTGTGGGTCTGTCGGAGCTGCTTCAGTGGCGTTGCTGAATTTGAGTTGGAAATTTCTCAACTTTTAAAGCGCCAATGGAAGTGTCAGCCAATCAGATTGCTTTAAAACTTATTTCATTGGCTGAAGCTGCTATGATGGTCGCATCAGCCCCAACTTCAGACACACCCTCGGTCAAGCGTTAACGCTGAAGCCCCATGTGAATGCACGGTCAGTGTTGCCAATTTAAAGACTTTGTCACTATATTTAGACATACGTCAGATAAACAGCACAGTGACAGACATGAAGGAAGCAGATCTCACGTAACGCCTGTGAGAAATACTACAGTAGGAACTTTGCCAATGATTATTTGATGTATTTGTTGTGGAGTTACAACGATGAGTCACACGCATTGTCACACACAGACACACGTGTTTATCTTTGCACTGTTTTTGCACGCAGATGTGACAGGATACATGTTAATATCCACTGCTGTGTTGATATCTGTTAAGTTAATGTACAAAATAAACCTGATTTACAGTCCACAAACTGGGATTGAAGAGTCTTCTTTTATAATTGTACTGACATGCGGCTGTGCTGATAAAGATGGTAAAATCGCTGTAATTCATTACAAACATGCACTGTTTTAGAAACGTTTTAAACTTGTGAAACTCCTTCTTGAACACATTTGATGATGAGTGAAGTTTATTCATAAACTAATTTCGAGAGGATCACGTGCTTATGATTGACACGGCTGGCCCCGAGTCAAGCTAATGTACGAATCACCAATCAGACTACTCCTAACCAAGAATAAATAACCAAACACCTTACCTTTAGTCATCTTCGTCTTGAAGAATAGCCAATCGCTGTAACTTTCAAGCAGAAATCTCCGAGGATAACATCCTTAAACTGCACAGCTCCTATCGCTTCTTCTACCTGACATCCAGCGCACTACCACTCAGCAGAACAGACCAACAAGTCCGCGGCTTCAAACACAGGGCCGCTGGCCTCCACGCAATGCCGCCGCTCTCCCAAAGCCTGGGACTAGCCCCCATCGGAGCGCGCAGGCCTCCAGCGCCCAGTATTAGCTGTATTCCACCGTGCATCCTGTTACAGCGGTCGATAATGCTCCGCTTGCGGCACGTAAAACTTCGGGCTATTCAGCCTGTTTTGTCGCACTACCGGCCTTGCCAGGTAAAGACCCGCACATTAATACCAAGCACACGCGCACTGCTTTCGCTTTATTTAGTCATGTTCAACCGTGGCGTTACAAGCAGACCAAACATTCAAACGACGATCAATACGCTGCACGTAGACCATTCCCATAGCTGACAGCACTTGCTATAGTGTCAAGCAGTCATATACGGACAAACGTATGCTGTTATTATGATTAGGCAGACTTAAAACATTTACTCAGTACTTCATGCCAAAGCCTCGTTCCACGCACTCCGATTTTAATCTAGACTTCCACAGTGCTTCCGGCGAACTCCTTCCATTAGAAACCATCATATTAGATCTGAATTCTTTACAAACCAGCTCACTGACTGATGTTTTAAGTAAACACTATGCATCAGTCTAATTAAACTAAACAATAACTATATGGCAAGCCATGTTTACATTAATCCAAATCCCTTCCGTATGGCAAGCCCCATTTGCACGTATACTCTTAACTAATGCAAATTAGCATTAGATATTATATGCTGTCATATATTTTACAGCATTTAAATATACCAATAGCTACTTGCTATTCGATTAGTCATTATTATGCCCACACAGAATCTGCACGCACGAAATTCTTAGCCCATCACTGTTTCTGTTTATTTACTTTTGAATATGTGTAATGTTCATATTCATCTAGTTGGTAAATTAACTTCAGTAATATTATTGAATAATTTAAAATGTTTACATAATCTATAGTACGTAAACTTTTATTTTCTGCCTTTCTAGTAGATATATTATATGAGCTTGCTTGTTTACCAAATAAGTGGATATAACTGGATTTCCATCGTAAGACTAAAAAGTAAAAAAGATATCACTGTTATTTAATCTATCAAAGTTTAGTTCCGATACTCATAAAATCATTCCACATAAATCTACAGTTTTTCCAAAAAGTCAGGAGATTCTGTCTAGCCCTAGTCATTAGCACTACTTTCATCACTGATACTTAATCATTATGATGGCACGAGAAACCTACATTCTGTCATGCCGTTAGCTAATTGACAGAAAGTCGTCTTTGTTGTGTATAACACTGGCCACACCTTCGGTCATCAAATAAATAATCTAAGCATTATATTTTCTATGACATGGCAAGCTATTTTTCACTAGTCCAAGTCCAGTTTTTACTGTCGTAGAGACATCCGGCTTGATTTCAGCATTCACACAAGAAGCTGCGGCGTATCACCACGCTAAGCTGTCAATTAGATCCATAGCAACAACAAACTAACCTAGTAATAACTTATGAACTGTTCTACTTCAGCATCAGAACAGCATTGTCTCGTCTGACATATGCTAGTAACGTGATTCCTTGTATGCTACAGTTGGCAACAGCGACTTGCCACGCGATGATCTGCTTAACGCTATCGCATGCTAGAAACACTTGCTAAGCATAGGGTTTGACCAACATGTAAACAAGGCTCGCCAGTTAACTATCCAGGGAACCCCAGGAACCGCCCAGGAATCACTCAGAACACCCTAGCGAGCACCTAGCAACGCTTAGCAACACCTTAGCATTAATGCTATTCATGCCAACTGCCTCAGAGCCCCAGTGCAGTCACGCTGGCTCTCTCAAGCCAATATCAAGTCTGTCAAGAACTTGGGTTCCAGCTATTTTCATCACACATATTATTTAATCTATGTCATAATAGGGACTTCATGAAATCTATAAGTCACATTTACCTCCACTGGAATATTACCGTTGGCTGAAACCACTAACTGAACATACAGCCATCGTTACAGCGATTGGTTGCTGCTCGATTTTCTCAAAGAAGCCATGCCCCCAGCCGCACTGCCCGCAGACTCTGCCTCCAATAACCCTGGACCACCCTCTCCCCCTTCAACAATCAATCTTCAGGACCTTATTAAGTTATTCTCAGCATCCATGGCTGATCTATGCATCTTAGGAGCTTGCATGCGAGGCAATACAGAGGGAGAGCGACTTAAAGACGGAAATCAAAACACCTTGCCAACTCTTCATGTATATACAGAAACTCTGGCAGCTGGCCCCGAAGCGGAGTCCAACCCTACTCCTGCCCCTCCCTATTCAGGACTGACATGGTCGCAAACCACCCAACTACTACCTCTGGGAAACCTCCATCACCCCCAAATACCCTCTGACCATATTCCACAGCATGGAACGCTTCCAAAGACCATCACACATTTTTAAAAGTTTACCCTATTCATTTCTAATCTCCACACTGCAAATATCCAAGTCAGTTCTACTAATACCTACTCTCTGGTGCCCTGGGATGACTAAACTTCCAACCCCCACAAGCCTTTATGCAGACGACGCTAATCATCTCATAACATGAGGTAAAAGATAAGGTCGTCGAAGATAAAGGTCGTCTTCCGCCTTCAGGTTTTTCCACAAACCCCCTTTCCAGCCATTCATCTACAATCTGAGCATTGTCCCTGCACCCACTAGGCTTTCCCAGCAATCCAGACTCATGGCATCAGCCTCAGCCATTACTACATCCACACTGTCCAAAGACCCTCACCAGCCACTACTCAACCATTGGTAGCCAAATGAATCAGCATGCCTAATGCAGAGCAATACCCACGCTCCTCCCTCCCTGTACCCCTAGCATGGACTAGACTCCGCTTCTCCCCTCAGCAAAGCACCACTATGACCTGCTCCTCGCTCCAAGCGAACAAACTCTGCTTACTCTCCCCTTTTCTTTTAGCTTTCATCCCTGCTTGCACTACCCTGTGTCGCTAACTCCTGCAGGAGTGACACCCCAAGTGCCGACTCCCGCAGGAGCCATGCCCACTCCAGCCACCCCTTCACCTTTTACTCCCACTGCAAAGTCACCACCACTCTCTCCTTCCCTCCTCT